TCTGTCTGGAACGGTATGCACATTTTAAAATCGCGAACATCTCGAACGGGCTGCACAGCCGGAAGTGCACACTCTTCACGGAGCATTATGCGATCGATTCGAGCCGGTCGGGGGATTTCATCGCGTATTTCGCGAATTACCGAGCGACGGCCAACAATTTCTGTCCCTCGTTAGCGCCGGTATTTACGAGAGGTTCTCCATGAATTCGTAGATCACCAAGCATCCGCGTATATGGCCGCGAGTTTACTCCCACCGGGTAGCCGAGAAACTGCCTGCCCCGGGCGAGGTTTCGCGCTATCCGATGCTCTTATGGGCCGTCACTCGACCGGTATAGAATTATCTAGAGAGAACGAATTAAGTTTCTCGCAGATTTTTATTTCGCTATTTAAGGAATACCATAGTCGGACTGATGACGTTCGTACGCTCAAAATGCTACCGATTATGATTATGTTTCAATTCATTTTGAATCATAGAAATAATATTTTCCTTCATAGTGCTTATTTTATTTTTCACTATCGGATAGGTCTAGCTTTATGCGTTAAATTCACGGTAAAACCGTGTATATTCGTGTTTTCTAGAATTTCAATCTGGTTAAAATCGTAATAAGGCAATTCTCGAATTTTTTAAGAACAATTCGAATCCCAAAGAAGTCAATATGATAATTTAAAACACACTCCGGATATATGGCCACGATCGGGCCCCGCGTTCGGCCATATATCCGGACGATGTTCTATATATACTCGTGCATGCAAGATGTACACTGTCGACGGGATCGGGAATGGATCTGTAAACGAAAATCCGGCGGTGGAAAATGATTGTAAAGCAATAAGGAAGAAACGGCCACTCGCTGTGGGATTTCTCGAGTAGGATGTTCCTTGTTGAAACAGAAGACGGAACCAGAGGGGTGGCAAAGTAACCACGAGGGTCCATGGGTAAAGCACTCCACACGGCTCTCTTCTCCTTTGCTCTCCCAGTGGACCAATTTACGGCACCCTGAGGACTCGGGTATTACGCTTCACGCTCGGGGGTTCGTTTCTGGCCATTGTTGCGCCAGTCAGGGGATTATTTCGGCAGGGACGAGGGATGCTTTCCCCGGTTGCAGTCGTTCGCCTCTTTCGCTCAGCTACCCCCGGATTATACGTTCCCTCGAGCACCTGCACCCGAGCTAAACTGTCCCGTCTGATCATTTCTTCTATTTCTTTTTTTTCCACCGCCCTTTCCCCCTTTTCTCGTCCCCCTCTGAATTTTTTTTCTCTTTTCGGAAGTGAGAAAGCAAAAGGTCGAAAAAGAGGAGCCCCGGTAGATCTCCGGCTATCTTCACTGATTAATTCGCCTCCGATATCGGAAAGAAATCCATTTATCGTAATAAGCTACTTCTGCGAGAGTTCAGACCTCCGTATTCCCGGTGCCCCCAGACGGCCGACTATCGAGAGACCCATTAAAAACTCTTACAAATAGCAATTATAAACGGGAAGCCGGCGATAAAGAGCGTTCGTCCATTTAATTATCTCAGTCTTATTGAAGAGAAAACTAGGCGAGCGTGCACGAGCAAATCAAATCGTTTTATCGGTATCCGTACCATGAACCTTAACACAGTACGATTCCCGTATCGACGGGGAATCGTCTTTTTACGCTCCCTGAAAGTTCTTATCGGAAACGAGCCGTCTGCGTTATTCTTCGTCCTCTAGCTCCTCTCCCCTCTCACTCCTTCCGCCTTTTTCTCCTTTTTTGCACCCTTTGTTTTACGGCACTTCGATACACCACCCCCCTCCATCTTCCCGTCCGCCGCCGCGATACAACGTTCCCTTTTTATCGACAAGATTTTTACGGTCGTACCACGTTCCGTGTACAATAACACGAGAGCGGCAGCGTAAGTGAATCTCGAGGGCGCCAGTTCAGAGAGTAATGGAACAGACAATATGTCGCGTCACATAGACGAGCCGGAGGGGAAAGCAATACGCGCCCCAGGTGCCGAATAAACGTTATAGGAGGATACAATTTGGCCATACTCCATCGAGCCCAGTCAGACGCTGCTGCTCCGTTGGTACAGTAGGTCGCGCGAAATGATTTTTTCCGGTCGCCGCGTTCGTTCAGCCGGGGTAATTGTATCAACGAGCGAACGCAGATGTATATCGGGCTAACGATGGAAACGCGGCTGTATATCGATGAAAAATGACCGATGAAGCAGAGGTTAGAAAGGGGGAAGGAGAGAGAGGGAGAGGGAGAGAGAGAGAGAGAGAAGACGGAGGATGGTGGATTAAACGAATAAACGGTAAAACAAGTATAAACGCGGAGCGATAACGTCGGTTGTGGAACGAGGCAGAACGCGGGAATTAAAACAATCGGTCCCCCCACCCCGCCCGTCCCTTTCACCCGGCCCCTGCCCCCACCACGCGGCGAACAAGAAGCAGCAGCGTGTAATTACCGCGAGCGGGAGCACGAGATCGCGATTCCACTCGGCCAGGAAACGTATAATGGGAGTATAATGCGTGAAATTTACCGGGCGCATCAGCATAATGGACGACGTGACGCTCAAGATATCACTGTGATTCCATATTTCCGTGCCGACAGCGCGACTCGATTCGCCTCGGCTCGCATGTCCCGCAACGACGTGCCTCCAACGACGCATTACTATGTGCATCGCGGCGTCGAACGGCTTCGAGGCTTAAAATCGACCGATTATCGTTCCACGCTGCTTACAAAACGTTTCCCACTCCCGCTCGAGTCAAATGTCTGTTTGCCTCGTGAAATTCGACCATGTTGTTTGCGCGTGTTTCGCTAGATACGCAGAGAGGGTAAAAAAAAAAGAAGGAAAGGAAACAGAATGAAAATAAATGATAGAGAAAGATGGGAGAAAAAAATATTCGTTTCGCGTATTCGATTTCATCGAGTTTTCAAAAGTTTTTTCAGCTGTGCACGCATCGAACCGCGTATACAGAAGCGTCGAGGCAAACGGGCCGATTAAACGCATCAATATTTACCGAATCAGGGCCCGTCGCGAGTGCATGCCACGGTTTACAGAAGGTTATGTTCGTCTAATACCGTGTATGCGCGCGCGCCTCGTCACCGATGCGCTACCCCCTCTCCTCGCGCCTATAGGACAGCGAGGCAACTATCTTTCGACCTTCTCCGTCCTCAGTTGTATATAGCCATCCCTGGTTCCCTCGATCCCTCTCGCTCTCGCTCCCTGCTTCTTCACGGCACTCGACACAGAGCCACCTTTTTTCCACAACATTGTCACCGCCTTTCGAGGGACAGCCTCGACTCTTTTGCCAGCGCTGTTTTTTTCCCGGTTTTTTTGCGCTTTGTTCGTTCCCGTTTCGCTCTGTCTCTGTCCCCCCGTCGCGTTTCTCGCCCTCCTTTTCCCCCGCTGCTCACCACGTGCTACAATATCGCCGGGCCGCATCCGGTGTAACGCCTGTTATTAGGGATGGGCCAGATGAAGCTTTCATTATTCTATCCGAGAGGGTCTCTTTCCACCCGACAACACACCGTTATAATACAAAGTAATGGCTGATTTTTTGCTTTCGCCTCTAATTATTATGATTATCGGTACCGGGGCAGATATAATGGCAACGGTGAATGATGTAATTTTTCCTGGCGAACACACGTCGCTGTTACGTCTCCGCGTCACCCCGAACGCGAGAATATCGTCGCGCTAATGCGCATGCGCGCGCGGTTAATCGCGCCCAGCGACATCTCCGCGGCGCTGTCGTCGTAGTCGGACAAACGCAATAAACATATCGCACACGCACGTTCGACGCGCTTACATAAAGCCACGCTCTTTCGTTTTTCATTCCCCCAACCGTTTATAATATCCTGTTCATCGACCGGCAAGAATTTCAGCGGCTAAACTCGCCGTGAAACTATGCCTCCATGGTGCACATATACAACGCCTCGGCCAATCTTGTACATCGTTATGGTTATGTACAACGAGCGAGACGCTTTAATCGAGGCAGCTATTAAAGGCCGGACACGAAATCCACGGAGAGAGGACACGCAAAGAAAAGGAGTCTCGCGTAACCGATTCATGGATCTTCGTCTTCGATTCACGGATCAATAGGCTCTCCCCGTCCCGACGTGGCGCGAGACGAAGCGGCTTTTACACGGTCCACGGCTAACCTCGAATTCGTGACGGGTTCGCGCGCGCGCGAACACGCTCTCGCCGCGGTCCGATATCTCGAAATCTCGAAACGAGTCGAGGGGTTACACTCGCGCGCGCACACACACATCCGTGCGCGCCTCCGAAGGCACGTGTGTTCCACACGTACGCGACGCACACCGGTAACTTACGCGCACAAGCATGATGAACGTGTGGGGCACGACGACGACGCACGTGACCGCATCGGCGGCAATGAAACGAGGCGCGTGAAGAAACCGCGCACGGATCGGTATTATTATCGGGTGTTCGACCAACGCCGGTGTTTCTATTTCGATCCGGGGAATGTTTTGACGTGAGCATGCCGCTCCTTCGACACGGGTGTAACAACGACCGCGATCCTGTTCCATAATCGGTCGGCGTGTGTCGGGAAAAATTCTAACGGAGGATTCGTAATCCGATCGATGACGATCGGTCGAAAGGTGTTACACTGGTTTCTACGCCACTGAACGTGATCGGAATGGCGCGCGTACGCGTTGCACGTGAAACTCGAGCCAAGTCCCTGAGCTTTGCGCGAGTTCGCCTTACGAGGTACAAATCGCTCAAACCGCGTAACAAAGGCGTAACGTGTCGGGAATTACACCTCGGGAAGCGTTGCCGGCAATTTGGAAAATGGAGATAAACGAGAGAATCGCGGGATGGTTTATGCTTCGTTATCTCGTTAACGGAATTTATTTGGACGGTGCTCGAAACGGTAACAAACATGGAACAATTTACGAATTACCAAATGAACGTGTACTCGCAGCGACGGAACGTGGAGAAGCGAAAAAAAACATGGAAGAAGGTAAAATCGATAAAACGGAGGAGGTAAAAAGAGATTGGGAAAGAATAGTTTACTCACCGGATGCCTGGCAACGGCGGCGGCGGCCACGGCAGCAGCGTTGATTCCAGCACTGGGATACATGTTTCCTCTCTGGTTTCAAACTAGTAGAAAATACAAACACCGTTGTATATGTTCTCAAATCACGTAAGCGATATGCTTCATGTCACGCAGCACACCAACGACAACAAATAACAATAACAACGATAAACAAAAACACCTCGAATGAAATCGCCCGCGTGGGCTACGAGGACGAGCGACCCTTAGGACAGCTCTGTCCGCCGTTCTGTCGACGCAATTCGATCAAGAAGGTCCCCGCCTCGGAAACACGACGATGATCCATCGGTGTGTTTGTCATCCACCTCTACCGCATTCTCATCGGTAACGTGTAACTTCACCCTTCCGAACGATAACTACTCGTGTCACCACTTACTTCGACCGCCTTCTACGTTCATCGAGGTTAAACGTGACGCCGACGCCACGAAGAATCCCGTTGGGCACCAAGAGCGTGGCGTGCCCTTTATACGGTCGGTAAAACAGAGCAAGAACCGCGTTGAGAATACGCCGAGGAGGCTCCTTTTTCCTCCGGATTAAACGAAAGAAGAGAAACTACCTCTCTTCCCCCCCTAGCCACGGCTACACTTCCTCAATGTTGAAACACCATCACACAGAGACACTGCACTTAGTTGTTTACGAGCTAAACGGTGGCCCGCCGCCACACTTTGAGGTTAAGTTTACCAACACTAGCACGCACACGTCTTTCCGTTGGTACGCGAGGAAACTTTTTAGGCACCGACAGGGTAGCACGTCCGGGAAGAAAAAAACCGAGAGCACCGATCGAACGAAACCGAGCGATCGCAACGTGAAAGCGAGCACGAAACGTTAACGCACAGACGGACAACAAGAACAAACCTCTCTCCACAACGGCCTCGGAGCGACTGATGGACGAGCAAGTGGTGGGGATAGTATCCCCTCCAAAGCAATCTTTCCCTTCCCCCACTACGGCAGGCCGTTACTCCACAGTTAAACCCGCCAAGCACCCCCTCGAATGTCTCTCCTCGTTCTCGACGCTCGTATTAACCGGCGCGATAGCTCCTTCACAATTAAGTCGCGTTACGTAAGGGTCTCGAAAAGGCGAGCACGAAAATCACGGCTCGTTAAAACGTCGGTACGTCCTCCCTCTCTCTCTCTCTCGCTCTCTCTCTCTCTCTCTCTCTTTCTTTCTCCCTCTACTCTCCTCGCTCTTTCTCGCTTTTTGCTTTCTGGCACTCTCTATTTCATAGCACCTGTCGTCCCTATCGTATACTTAATCTGTTTTATCGGCCAACGGACGAGGCACGGATACGTCCATCGTGATTTCGGCGCGCTGTTGACGCGATGAGTGACCCGACCATGGCTTTAGGGCCGTTTTAGTTGACCGTAATTAATCGGGTTTCAAATGAACGGTTATATTCGCGTTAAGCATGGCGCAATCGAACAATATACATCGATTCTATTATGTACACGATCAACGGTGATATGTTTGCTCTGTCCCTCTCGTCTGCCTCTCTCTCTCTCCGTCTTTCTCTCTATCGCCCCCACGCTTCCCTCGCTCTCTCTCTCGCTATCTATGAATTATTTTAACGACTACGTTTTTTTCGCATTATGTCGGCGTTGTGAAATTTTATGCCAACATCTACTATTTCTGTATTAATGAAAGATGATTCAACGCGCTCATTTATCAATGTTGATTACGTTCGTTTTTTTCCATTCCGCCGATGGTATTATCGCTGATACCACAGTTAACGAGTGTGTGCAAATAATATTTGTCGACTACATCATTCAACTACCTTTGGAATCTAGACAATTCGGAGTATCAATCTCGCGAAATGCGGCGCAATGACTAAGGGAACGCACGGTTCTCGGAATACTTTTTTCGTACTGCTGCCGCTGCTGTTGCTGCTGCTGCTGCTGCTGCTCCATTATCTCTGCCGACCGGTGCTTCGCTTTAACAGATACAATTGAGAAAGATACATCGTTAGCCCGTGGGCGATATCGTATACGCGAATCGTGTATTCCGTTGGTGTACAGGTCCGGCGATTTTTGCAAGTTGAGGCACGAAGACTGGAAGCCTCGAAAGTTTTCGGTCCCGCAGATACGGTCGAATAAACGAGAGGACAGGGCGCGGAACACGGCGTGCCATGCATACGCGTAGGTATTAGTTGCTTCTCTCGGTTCACTCAGCGTGTGCAAACAAATCGAAAGTTTTTCGCAAAATGGCCGTCACCGGGCTGACACGGATGTCCGCATAAACTCTCTCCTTCTCTCTCCCTCTGCCGCCCTCCTCTCTTTTCCCGTGCTCTCTCAACTGGCCGCCGACTGGCTGCCTCTCTCGCCACTCGTGATTTCCCTCACTTCCCACACCACCACAAATATGGCGCCTCCACCCGTTTTCCCAACCCCTACATCGTGCCTCTATAAAGCGAGAGGAACGGCGAAAGGGGAGAAGAGAGAGAGACAGATAGACAGCGCGAGGGAAGGAGCGGAAGGGCGACAGAGAGGGTAAGAGCGAGATGGCGAGCTATGGTTGGAATATATACACGCGCATCCAACGCGATTGTGTCCGAGTATCCGTGTGTAGCGAGTACGATCCTATGCGTGTGGCAAGGGGGTGCCCCTATGTGAATATCGCGCAGCACACAGTCCCAAGCAGTTTCCTACTTGATTGCCGCTATCGTCCGCTCGCTTCGTAAAGGAACTGCTCCGCGCGGACTGTCGTTGCCGCCTCGACCAACCGGAGCGCGTCTAGCCGCGACTTGGCCAATGGAGAGGGAGCGAGCCCCACCGCGCGACCCGACCGCTGCAAAGAGTCGAATGAAAGCGCGACCTCGGCCAATGAGAACGAAACTTTTTGAGTTGACGCTCGTACGTCAGATCCGCGCGGAGTGTTGCTCGAGCCCCACGGATGTTCCTATACGGAATGAAGGTGCTACGCGAAGCCGCAGCGAAACATGAAAAATAGGGGGCTACATGAGGAAAAACACGGAGCGGGTAGGAAGGAGGAGGGCTCTGTGGGATGGATCCTACGAACCGAGACACCAAAGGCTGGCGCAGTCGTGGTTGTGTGGGGCAGCCAAGAAGGAGGGATGTCGAGGATAGAGGCCGAGGATGAGAATGGAAAAGTAACATAACGAAACGTCGATCCCATTACCTGGAGCTCTCTCGCCCTGCCGCCGCCACCGTGCACCGAGCCCTGCTTTCGACCCTTAATCCAAAGGAGGATTAGAAAACCCCATTGTCATGCTTCGCGGAACGCGGGATGGGATATATACATACATATGTACAGAATAGCACTCCGCACAATTTCTCCCCTCCTCTGCCGCCTCGCCTCCTTTCGCTTTGCACACAACGGAGGCGGTGGTGCAGGACCCTCCTAATGAAATAAATACGTGACGTGCCGTGCTAGTGACGATACGATGGTAGTTCTGTTTATCGCCAACCATGAACTTTTTGTGCGATGCACAGAAACGTTCAACCCCACCCCTCGCGCTCGACTACTCTCGTTTTACCGTTTTCCTTCCTTCTTCCGTCCTGCTTTAACTCGGTGCCGTCTGGTTCGCTCGCTCTTTATCTTGTTCCACGGGGCGAAGAAGGAATATAAGGCAGTGCCGTGGAGTGTTGGCGAAGCTGTCGGTCGCGCTTGGTCGGCTGCGGTTTATGCGGAGCCGCCTTGCCTGCCGCCTGCCGCAGCCGGTTTGCGTGTTCGCCCGTGTTCGCTCGGTAGATACGTGTCCTCGGTGCGGCTCGGTGCTCACCGAACGACCATGGACGCGCTCAGCTACGGAGAGTAAAGAGGAGAGATCGAGGGAGAAAGGGTGAAGAAAGGACAGAGACGAAGGCAACGGGCCAGAGAGAGAGGTATGTACGCGGCGAAATGCGAGGGTGAGGGAGACGCCGGTAGGCGGCAGAACCAGTCGCTGCGGTCGTCGCGGCTAACCGCGCCGGTGCTCTCAACCCACGGCGACCTCGGTAACCGCACGAAGAATACTGCCTCTTCTCCGCGATGCTGGCTGCTGCTACCAAGCTCTATCGCCGACTCGCAAGAAGCTGGCTTATTTCTTTAATCCGATTCGCCCGCGGAAATCGTATTTATTCTCAAAAATTAGAAAAATTCCCCGCGTTTCTTTATTTTCCCTGGGTCGCGTTTATCGCGGTAATATCCTACGTCATCCTTGTCGTCATCTTCGTTCTCGTCTTTACCTTCGTCTTTGCTTTCCGTCTTCGTTTCTTTTGTCTCCATTTTCGTCGTTGCCGTCGTCGTCGTCGTCGTCGCTGGTGCTCAAAGATTCGACTCGTAATATATCCGTGAGATTACACCGTCTAATGGACGTGATAATTTGTGTACGGATAGGAAACAGGTGTGCTCATTCTCGCGCAGGTTGTTTCGTCATCTATAACCGCGGCCATTGTATCCCCCCGCGCGCGAAAGAAGTCGTTCGCCGCAATGTAAATATTACTTTGGCCGCTACTTCTATTTGTAGCCGTTGGTACGCGAGAATTTCCTGCTCGGAAAATCGCCGGGGAAAACGTGGAGTGGCTGGTTTAATTAATTATAATTGGCTGAGTGCATTGGGCAACCGCCTCTTCTCTGGACCAACGTCCACTTCATCCGGCAGCCACGAGAGAGGGAAAGATCTAAGAGCTTGACTTCTGCTCGAATGAGAATACGTACGTCTCGCCAAGTTGAAGAGGATTTGCGAGGATGATCGAGCGCTGCGGGCTGGCCATTAATATATTTGAAAGAGGCACCGTTTCAAACGGATCTCCGAAATAATTGAACGTCGAATGGCCGCTAATAACGTGCAATTTGTATATCGGGCAAACATCGATCAACCGGCTAGCCGGCGAGACAAAAATATTAATCACATTTATTAATTACGCAGGAAATTGAAGGATCGAGAGTGCCAGGCTACACTTTTAATTTTATTCCCCCGCGTATACACACAGTCCTGTCCATCCCGGTGAATCGGAACCGAGCAACGGAACCGACGTTATCGACCGAGTAACATGCCGCGACGTGCTCCGACGTATAACCTTTATATCCAGAAATCGGGCTTCTCGGAACGGTTTCTTCGCTCCGTCCCACGCATTGTCCGCCATAACACCCGCTGGATCGAATGTCTAAGCGGACCACGAGGAGCATCCGGGGCTAGGGATATCCCTCCGCCAATCCGAGCGTCGTTTCGTGGAAATAACAATGGCCGATATTTGGCCAGAAAAAGACCAGACACAGCCTCTTCGCAACGGACGATTACCTCGTAATTGCAAGCAACGCCGCGCTAATTTCGCTAACCACGTCCGATACAATTAGCGAGTGCATTTAAAAAGATCACGGGCGAAATTAAAAATACGGGAATGGAGCATGGCGGCGAGTCGGAGCAGCTCGTAGTAGGTAGCTTGAAAAAGCGCGTTCGAACAAAGGGAGGAAAAAGAGGGAGCGAAAGAGGAAAGAAATAGAGAAAGGGAGGGGGAAGAGGAGGGGACCGATAAAGGACGATGCTCGGTCTTTTGGCAAAATATCGCGTTGCGGCTTCGCCACGAAAACGAATCTAGCAGGCACACTCACGGCTGACAAATGTCTTCCGCGGTTCTGGCAGCGGCGTACCGTTATCCAAATTACAAATAACACACCGCCGTCGACGTTTTATCCAACGCCCGGAGACAAATTGCCGCCGACTTGGGATGGGTTGCCTCGAAATTATCCCCACCATACCGGCCATGGTGTAACCGCGCGTCGTGGACTTCGTTAATACCGGTAGTGGCTCGGCCCCTTGCTCGGCACACGGAATTAACACGGCGAAGTGTATTTATGGATCCGGCCCCGGCCAGGTAACCCGAGAAAGACCCTGCGCTACGGACTCGCTTCTTCCCCATTCTCCCCTA